TTGGTTCAGGGCCGGCTCCGGCTTTTTGTGCCCCAAGAAAAAAAAAGTGGGGGGGGGGCTGGAGTGCCGCCCCTTGGAAAGTGCTGCCCCAAGCACATGCTTGGAGCGCTGGTGCCTAGAGCCGGCCCTGCCTGGGGTGAGCAACCCCCACAGTGCTGCTGAAAGAGCCTGAACCACAGCCCCAGGTTTTCTCAGTCACGCACAGGCCACTTCTCTGCCACGTCTCGGGTCAGCAACCCACCAGATCTCTGCTCGGCCATGGAGACGTCTGGGGTAACCCAGTCAAACGGACAGAACCTCGGATGGGGAAAAGTGGTGTCTCTTCGCAGTGTATAATGCTTGGACTGTGGGGGGCTGGGAGTCAGGACTCCTGGGTTCTATCCATGGCTTGGGGAGGGGAATGGGGTCTAGTGGTTAGGGTGGGCTGCCTGCGGGGATGGTGGTTGGGGGGGTGTTTGTGCCCATCTCTCATTGCATCTCCCCTTGCTCGCCCCCTGCAGGCAGCAATCTGCGTTGCAGACAATGTGCCCTGAACGAGCCCTACATCGGTTGCCTCCCCGGAGTCTCTGAGTGCACCCCTAAGGCCGGGCATCCATGCATGACTGTCAACATCGGCTATAGTGAGTGGGGGGCGGGGGCTGTACCGGGTTCTCTCTGTCCCAAATGCCCCCACCAGTACTGATCCTTACTCCTTTCTGGGCAAGTTGCTGCTTGGCTCTGGCCTGACCCCTTGTGGTCAGGCTCAGAACTGCAATGTGGGCTCAGCCGGTGATGGAGCGGCTGAGCGGCCTGGGGTCGGGATGGCCTGGTTTCTGATCCCATCCGTGCTTTGGGGTGGCGTGTTCGAGTGGCGTGGTTCTGAGCTCTGCCTCTCTGTTGCCCCCTGCAGGAGGTGAGGTGCAGTTCCTCCTCCAGGGCTGCATCATGAATCCCAGCCGCTGCGGGATGGTGAAGGAGTTGATGGTTCCCGAGTACCACATCAACATCACCTGCTGCTCCCACGCCTCCTTCTGCAACGAGTGGGTCCCGCTGCCCCCTGGCAAGGGAGGGCACTGAGTCTGGCCTGCCGCCTGCCGCCTACCACCCTCTTCCATCCCTGTCTGTCCTCCGTCCCGGTCCCCATCCCTCCTCCCCCTCCTGCAGTTCTCCAGCCATCTTATTCCCTTCTTTCTTCTCTCCACCATTCACCCATCCCTCTCTCCACATCCTCCCTCCGCCTTCTTCCCACCCATCCTCCTTCTCTTCATTCATCCCTCTCTTCTCTTCTCCTCTTCCTTCATCTGTCCTTCCCCCCCC